GGATTTGTGTTAATGTCGAAAAATTTGAAAGCTTTAGACATTTCTATTGATATAACAATATAAATAACATTTGCAATTAATATATATATATATTTTTTAAAATAAATAGACAAGTATTCATTTATTTATAGAATTTTAATAGTACCTGAGCAATATGTATAAATTTTTCTATCACTTTTACTCGATCTTCCAAAGATCTTGTTAAAATAACTTCTGTTGCGACCCAATCACATGTCTATTGATAATTTTATAAAAAAAATTCATTATTAATATGTATATTACTAATAATATTTATTTATTTACTATTAAATATTGTCATGCTAACCAAACGAAATCTTTCGACAACTTTATCAACGCCGTTTTCTTTTTGTCGAAGGCTTAATTTTTGTCGTGGAGTTAATTCTTCTTGTTGTTCATCCTCTACTTGCTTTCCCTCATTCCTTTCCATTCCAGATTCTTGATGTTCTGCCACCTTTCTTTTGCCCTTTGCATCTTTTTTATCTCCACCAACATTATCTTTATTACTATTATCATTACTATTACTATAACCAACTTGAATTAAATCTTCCCATTTCACTTTTAACAATAAATCACATTCAATTAAACAAAATTGTTTTGCTATCGCATCAGATCTGTACATTAATATAAAAGACTTGTATGATTGCTCATTTTGCTGTTGATGACGATGATGCGGATGACTTCTAGAATTGATACTAGTTGAGTCTGGAGAAGATGGTGTACGAATGTGTAGATCATTATGCTTATGTTTATGATTACGATTATTACGAGATGATGATGGCGATAAAATTTTTTTATCATTGTTGTCGGTAGTGGTATTAACAGCGTTGGTGCTAGTATTTTTAGTTATTGGATTTTTCTTACTAGCACTATTATTATTGCTTTGACGAATTGAAAAGGTCCCTATTGTACTACTACTTTTCTTTGTTTTTAAAATATTACTATTATCATCCTTAATATTAGGAGTAGTGGGTGTGACAAGATCGCCACCGCCTCCACTACGATTTGATGAACCAAATTTAAAACTTTGAGAAATTATTTTTAAATTTGATATATTTGGTGGCTTTAAACTTGTTCGACTACTTTTTTTTAATTTAGAGGTTATTGTTTTAGCTGCTGACGTTGATGATTTTGTTGATGTTGGCGTTAATGATATAGGTAATTGCTGCTGCTGCTGCGCTTGTTCTTGCTGTTGTGGTTGTGGTTGCTGTTGTGGTTGTGGTTGTGGTTGTGGTTGTGGTTGTTGATTTTGCTGTTTTTGTTGTTGTTGATTTGTTGTTGTTGTTAATTTATTAGAAGAATCTTTAGCATCTGAAGAAGAAGAAGAGCCAACCAGAATATCGTTATTGGTATTATCGTTACTTTTGCTACTGCTTCCAACATTATGGTTATTACTTCCACTATTATTGTGAAGTTCTTCAACGCCACCAACCGAAGACATTGTACTCCAAGAAACTCTTTTAGTGTATTTTTCTTCTTCTAAATCTTTAAGGGTTGTGGCAGAGCGTAAATTAAGTACTTTTGGAAATCTACGAAGTGTATGTGTTGAATGTTGATTTTCATCATCATCATCTTCAATATATTCCTCTTCTTCCTCATCATTTTCAGTATTTTTATTATTTTCTTCTTCGATAAAAGGTACTTTTTGTTCAAGTGAACTCGTCGCTGTTGCAGTTGGTGGAGTGGTAACTATTATACTAGTAGCAGTGGTGGCTGTAGTTGGTGTTTTAGGATGGGACCCGTCATCGTTATCATCATCATTTTCCTCCTCCTCATTATTATCTTCAACTTCAATAACAGGAACTAAATCCCAGACCTTAGTATGTCTACGTCGAGTAGGTTTATTATTGTTACTATTATTACCACTACCATTACCGCTACCATCATTATTAATATCATTACCGCCATTTGTATCATTTACATTTTGTTCTTTCTTGTGCTCGTAACTTTTTTGTGTATTCTTTTGACTTTCATCATCTTTGTCATCCTTATCATCGTCATCATCATCATCTTGAGTTGAAGAAGAAGC